AGAGCCGTGCTAACCTTAGGCGCTCTCTCTGGTCTATTTGGGCCACAAAAAGCCTCATTACACAACAGCATGTGCATAATTCAGAGCCGGAATGTGGCTGTGCAGGGTGGGTTGGTAGCGGGTAATCCTTCCCCAGCTCTGTTATGCTAGCTGACTCTTCGAGCTTATTTTTAGCCTAAGTCTCTCCCCTGGCCCCATTAAAGTCACTATCTGAGCATCTTTTGCTGTATTGGACCTGATAACATCTGTACAAGGCAGAGGTATGGAGACGCTGTGTAACTTGCCCCGGGCCACAGAGGAAATGTGGGGCACAGAAAGGAACTGCTGGTCCTTAAACGCCAGCTCATCCAGCCTCTCTGCCCCAGAGACTTTCTCCAGTGTGATCAAATGTTTTTTTTTTTTTAACCAGCAGCTGCAAATTGGGTTGAATTCAGGGGACCCTGGTGACATTTTTCAGACCAGGTACAGGCGCAGGGTGTAAATTCTACTGGGCCATAGGAGATAACTGTGTGTCCTAACCCTTATCCACAGGGATAATGATTACTAGCTAATACTACCAGTAGGAAATACAGCATCTAACAATAATATAAACAGCTTTACTCTGAACTTATGTCCATAACACATCCTACCATAAAAATCATACCAAAGCAGTTACTCTAGATCAGAGCCGATTTGCTTTTCTCATCTGTAAGAGGTAATCTCACTGGAGAATTGAATGTTTGCGTTCAGTCCATAATACAACTGCAGCCTTTGGAAAAGTGCAGCTCCTTCCTTTGGAAAAAAAAAAAAAAAATTCATTTTATTGTCCACCTATTTATTATTTAAATAAATGAACTGGAGGTTGATCCTGGAGTGATAGAAACCTCTTGCATACATGATGGATTGAGTTGTTTAAAGAGCCTGTCCTCAATTTTAGGCCTTTTGATATTGTGTGGAAAAGATAGAAGAGCTGATAAAACTGCTCAGCCAGCAATGCCAAGAAGCAACTTGCTTGGGGGGAAAAAAAAAAAAAACCAACAAACAACACCTTGTTTTTCAAATAAATGTTTTGCTTGTGTGCCACCCAACAAACAGCTCTTAAGCCTTTTTCTCAGCACCCAGAGAGTAAATTGACCTTCAACCAGGTCTCAGGTAGTTGCATGATGCCAGATCATCTGTACAAACAGAACATGCTGCTGACAGAGGCTGAAGACTAGAGCAGGAGGGACCGAGTCCTATTTCTGTTTATGAGGGGTTTACAAGGCAGAAGGGGAGATCAGCCTTTCTGTCAACAGGCGGTTGCAGCACTTGGGAAAACAGTTCTCTTCCTCGTCCTGCCCTGGCAGGTTCTGACCCGCGGCTGAGTCATTTATCTGCCCCAGTTTGTCACCTCCCAATCCTTCCCAGAATTTAAAGGGTTGTTGTTGAGGCTGTCTACCGGTGACCTGAATGGAGGGCGTAGTGTTGTGTTATGACAAGTGCTGTGCTGGGCGCCTAGCAAGCAGCAGGGAGTTCCGCTTGTTCACACCACAGTAGGGGCTTCCTACCCTGCTCTTTATTGTGTCTATCCCAGTCATGACATCTCCCAGTCGCACCTTCTCTAAACTATCTCATCAACCCCCAACTCCAGCACTGCAAGCAAAAAGTCCAGATATATCCACAGAGAGGATATATGTCCAGATAAATCCAGAGGGGAATCACTCAGTGGTTGATCACGGGCTCCTTCCAGAATATATACAGAGAAGGAACTGGGAGGAGGAATCGTCCCTTCAGCCTGTAAGGGTCTAGACATCATGTCTCAACCACCAGATCATGGGAAAGTCCCCCTCCAGCAAGAAACTCCTACACGTTGTGCTCCAGCAAATCCAATATGCTATAACACAGCTTCCATTGATGCTAAAGACTTGTAACACCTCTCATTTTCAGGGCTGAATGTGCTTGACCTCTCCAGAAGCTGGAAGAGGCTGTGTCTCACCCAACGTCCCTGGAGAGTCCAGTGGTTCTAGTGCTGGCTATCAGGTTTTGGCCATTTCCATACAGCTCAGTCTCCAAGAAAGGAGCAAATTGTAGCCGAATTACTTGTTGGGAGAGGCCACTGGATGTGGACGTGCCCGACTGCCTGGGAATTGTTTCGGGAAGTGGGCACAGGGCGGTAGTGTGTGAGGGACCTTCTTAGAGTGCAAGATAAACCCCTGGATTGGAGAGGTCATGGAGCTGGTCACTCGTGCAGAAAACAGCCTGGCTGGGAGATGTACGGCTGGACTGTCCCTTCTCGGTGACTAAGACTCAGGAGGTTTGGCACCCCACACATGTGCCAGATCCTCCTTCTGTCAGTAATCAGACTCAACTCATATGAGGAAGGTGGTTCACTCTGGATGTTCCTTCTGGGAAACTCCTTCTCTTCTTCCTACAATTAGCAGCTTGTTAATGCCTCGTGTCCCAGGGATTTATGTACTTTTCTCTTTCACAATAGCAGACAGTGTCATTATCTTCTGACATCCTATTGACTTCATCCAAAATTTGATGCTGGCCCTTGTCCCATGGCTATAGGTCCCTCAGATGACTCATCTCCACCTGTAAATGCTTCTTTTCTTATTTCAGTCCATGGCTCTGCACATCCTTTGAAGTTCTTAGACCATGACAGAGAAAAATGGTCTTCTTGGTCAATCTGCCTCCCCTTTTAGTCCTCCACCCACTTATGTCCTGACTTCCCAGCTCCTTGACTTCATAGATCCAGCTTTTGTTGTCGCTCCCATCCAGGAGTGACATCTATACATCCTGCTGACATCAGCCTTGTCTTCTTTTGCTGTATATTGGGAGGAAGAACATGTGACAGATTGACCTTCTCCAGAATGTTTTCTACCTTGTTTTTCAGATCTCTTCACATACGTGTTGCTCGGAGGTCTGATTTGAGAGTTTGTGTCAGGCAGCTTTGTCTGATACTTTCTCTGCTGCCTTTGCCAAACACTGTAACAGGATCTCCCAATGCAAGATGGGAACACTCAAGTTTATAGACATAAAATAAACTATAATTTAGAATCTGTAACCATGTAGAAGGTCGATAACTGTGTAGGAGAGATATTAAAACTTCAGAGTCTGCACTGCATGCAGACACGTCACTGGTATCAGCAACAGAGAGGTCTTGGAATGTTCTTCCAGATATTTGAAGCTTGCATGGTTGCCACAATCATTACACCAGTAAAAGTGGGCAAAGCATGATGATTGTGTCAGTGACAGAGGTTGCATTAAGCTGCTCCTTCATCAGATATGAACCAAATCTTCTACGTGGGATGAGTGGAGAAAGAACTCTGGTTACAGCAGGGAGTCCCAGGAAGGGGGAAAGATCAGCAGGTAAAGAAGGGAAATTCCTATCGCAAGGAGGGGAATAAAGGACTCTGTGGGCGTTATCACGACCTTAAAAAATCTTCGGGAAACACCAGTCTCACCCTAATCTTCAGCACTCCTAGTGATATAATACCCTTCACGTTTGCTAGTAGCCATGATTAATAACTGTGCTTGTAGCTATAGTTACTGCACATATGGAGACAATTACGAGGTTTTGAAGCTTAGTCGAGCAAGACTTTGTGTGATAAGAAGTTCATCAAGAAGAAGCTTTGATCTCCAAACCCTGGGAAATAGGTGGAACGTCCTGGACCATAAAGAGAATGTCCGGGTTTGTGTTGAGGATGTTATTTGACAACCTTTCAAAGTGACTATTTGATTATTTAACATGGCAATGAAACTTTTGAGCAACCTGAAAGTGAACTACCATCATTTTAATACTAGAAAACACACCCACAGGTCAAAAAAGACCCCTGCCCAGGTTAAGAGCCTTCCCCTGAGCTTGCACAGTAGTAGAAGCATTATGTAAGACACGTGATAATTACATGTTAGTCACTAACAAATCAGTATCTGATAAGCATGTCTGGAAAAGTACTAACCTCTGATTTTTGTGTATAAAAGAAACACAATAACCTGCTGCTGGTGTGCTTGATTTATGCAAAAGTCCACCAAATACCCAGGCCTGAATAAATAGAGTATCTCTCCTGAGTGTGTTAAGATTGGGTTATTGCTCACCAGGCATGGATCAGCTTTTTGGATAACACTAGCCCTGTCCTGAGAGCGCCTCGGGAGGAGAGGAAGCAGCCCCATACCCTTCCCTAGCTCCCCTGCTCTTGTTTTCCTTTGTCTTTTCCCCACACTTACCTCCTTCCCATCTTCCAGTGACTTGTATCTCACCTGGGAGTGGAAGTGGGTGTGTGCCCCAGGGGTGTGTTCATCTTCACAATCAAGGCACTCCAAGGGGAAAAACTGAGCTCTGATATTTCCTTTCTCTACTCTCTGCTAGGCAACCCCACAGGACTTTAAGATAAACACCTCTTCAACCTTGTGACAGGACCTGTGTCCCAGGCTGTGGCGTGTGGAATGGATCAAGGATGAACCTGGAGAAGAAAGCTTAAGAACCTGCCTGTGGGAGATGGAGAACTTCAGGGGATGCCACTACGGCCAGGATGGAGACTGGTAATCCCAGATTTAAATTGGTTGACCAGGACACGGCGGGGACACCCTTTTTGCTTTATTTCAATGATTACTGCCTACCGTGGTGTTCCAGGTACCTGCAGGTGCAGTCTTTTGCCCACCACCTCGAGGATGCTACAGCTATGTGAAGGCATATGAGTGGCTGCATGCACAGGTACCAGGGAAGGGAGCACTGCTTTGTCTTGCACAGTAGTTATCAAAGTGCGGGGGCCCAGGGTCTCTAGGTCACAAGCAAGTTCCCTTTCAGGTGTGATTGCTCTTCACAGGTTTTCCTGGGGTATGTGCCCTCCAGAGCTGGTCATAAACCCGTCAAGCTTTTTGAGTACAGTTGCCACCTCTATTCTGCTCTGCTGTGGCACCTCTCAGCATTCCACAGCAACAAACACGATTGAACATTGGCCAGACGTGCAACACACCCACCGGCAGTTGCTGCTGGGCGCAGAAATACATGACGAAGTCATATACAGGTAACACATTCACACTTGATTCAGAAATAAGTGTATTTTAGGTGTTAGGCAGATAGCATGCACGTGTATTTTCTGATCTGGTAGCACTACAGCAATACAATAACAGCAATGAAGAAGCTATCATACGGCAAAGATCTGCCATCAGCTCCAAGGATGCTGCGTGCCCAATGTACCACGTTGCTCCCAGCTACAATTCCCGTCATCAGAAGGGTGCTCCAAGACTTTCTGTAGTCGTGGGAATCCTCTTTGCTCCTCACAGTCTGTTGTTCAGGAAGGTCCAGAGCACGCCGGCTGTTATCCCCGCTGCCATCCCATAGCTGCACCTCACACTGCTCGCCGCGTTGAAGTTGCAGAGGTTGCTGTTGCAGCAGGAGACGTTCCTGCTGCCTACACCTAGTTGCTGATAGAGTGGTTCACAGGACGAGTCACAGCCCTTGTTGATGAGGCTGAAGAACGATGAGGCCCCTGGAAGGGAAACAAGATCACTACTACAAGGACTGTGGGCAAGCCAAGCCTCATGGAACTGAATAATGAGATGCTCTTCTTATCTGAGCTTACTTCTTGGGGGAAAAAAAAAAAAAAAAAAAAAAAGTGGTTCCAAACAGTGGCATGTTTTAGTGTAGGTTGTTTTTGTGGTGTCGGTTTGTTGGGGAAGGTGGAAGGGTTTCAATCCCCAAAGTATATGCTTAAGGCAGTGTATTCCACAGCACGAGTCTCAGGGGTTTCTAAACCAGCGTACAGAAATTCTAATAATTAAAGCAGCCATTAATTAATAATGAAAGTAGCCATTAACACCTCTGTTAGGGAGTAAGGCACTAACAGATGAGAAGCAAGCATGTGGGGTTAACCTTTGCTCATATCCCATCCATTGCTATTGCACAGGGCCTTTCAACACCCGGGAAGTTTTGAAAACTTATGAAAATAAAAGGCTACCCCCATGTCACAGACGACAGTTGTTGTCTGACTTGTTTCTGGAAGGCAGAGCCTGTTTTTCTGTGGTTGGTTGACACTCAGTAACTGCTGGTTACCAGCAGATTATGTTCTGCTTGACATCTCCTGATCTCACACAAGCTATTCCGGGCACCAAGTTTTTGACATCCGCAATTTCAGCGAAGGTGTTACATTTTCTGCCTGACAGAGATGAGGTTGAACGTGCCACTGATGGGTTTTGTGCCCCAGGTCTAAGGGCAACCCAGCTGTCACTACAGATTTGGACAGGGCAAACTTTTTTTTTTTTTTTTTTTTTTTTCCCCCTAATCTGTTAAAGGAGTTTACCCAGAGATACACAGATGTCTGCATTCAGAGCTGGCTGTAGATGGGTCTAGGTGGAATTACATCCTTTGCACTGAATTCACCTAAAGCCAGCTCTGTCGTTGAATGCTCCTCCTAACTTCATGGCTAGGTTTCACCGGACACAGCCCCACACATTTTAATTCACCTTCCACATTTTTCAAAGCCATAAATTTAACTATTGCCCTTGTAAGCAAATAAGTGCTGGTGTTATGACAGAGAAATAAACCTCATTTTGTGCAGGTGAGAGACACTGATAGATATTTGCCATGTCAAGTGCAGCTGCACCCTCCTGAGATCCGTTCCAGATACTGGCACTGCACTGGCCACACTGATCAGTTTTTAGATGATTTTATGGCAAACACTGAGGAATTTATGGGGGTACAAGCATGCATGTGCTCACATGACTTCGTAATCACACCGTGGTGGCCAGTGTGGGAAGAAGATTTGGTGATGGCCAGCACCGCTACCAAGGACCAGCTATCACCACGGGATGAGTTTGTTTTTTTTTTTTTTTTTAATTCTGTCATTTCTACTTAACATGAAAGTCATCTGAAAGAGTTTTAACCACTCCTTCTCCCCAGATGGCCTTTCTCTTCCTGCTGCAGACCGACCTTCACTGGCCCACACCAATGGGTGTGTGTATCTAGACTCGGTGAGGCTGGCTTGGACACCTAAAGCTGAGACCGTGCGCGGCTCCAACATCACAGCTAAGATACTTCCCACCCCCGCTTTGTCTTACTGAACACTTCTGTCTTGCATATCTCCTTATCCTTGCAGTCCACTTTCTTCTGGCAGTTGGAGTTGCTGAGCTGTGCTGTGCAGCTGTAACACTGCAAAGAAGAACCTGCAAGACACCAAGACGGATTATTAGAAAAATCTATCTGAGGGTCTCCAGGGAACCCAACTTAGTGCTTGCACTGGGAAACAGAACTATTCCTGTGCATCCTCAAAAACCATAGCACCTCTGTTACTGAGAAAACTTTTTTTTTTTTCTCATTTTTGTTGGAGAATAGTACACTCGCTTAGAGTGAGAGTCAAGTTTTGCAGGTGCTGAAGATGTTTCAGGTGGAGTCAGTGGAGTGAGGGAGCAAAAAGAGACCAGCCATTCCTATATGGTCTCATGTTTGGAATCAATATATGATATCATATATCTATATCTATATCTATATCTATATATCTATATATATATCTATCTCCATATACAGTCCCATCAGTCAATGGAAAGTGCTTCCCAAATGCTTCTTCCTCTGCATTTGGGTTGCCTAACTCAGTTCCTGTCTGTGATATTCCCACCTCCTGAGCAGGGATGGAGGGATGAAGTCTGCAGAAGGATAGGTTGATATTATTTGTCTGCCTCTATAGACATCAGTGTTTTACCAGGTGGGGTTGTGAACCTCAGCTGAGTCGTTGCCAGGGTTGGAGGGAAGAGGGAAAGCCCAGAGGGGAGAGAGGGTGAGGGAGGGATGGAGCAGGCAATTTGCAAGGTCTCTTCCAGCCTGTTGTCTCAGTTTGACCAACTTCTGACACTGACTCTCCCTCACCCCCTCTTCAAAAGCAAAGTGCAAACACAGCTTTTGCCTCCCTCTCAAAACCAGATGGCCACATCCTTCCGAACCCTCATGGACGTGTCACTCCATGGAGATGCAAGTCAGTCTTGTTAACATCTGCGGTGCTGTTATGTGCATTAAGCAAAACCAGAACAAGCATTTCAGTTTACAAGTGTCTAGCCCTGATGAAAAATAGTCCCCGGAGTGAGGCCATGGTGTAATTACCCGTTCCTATTACCTACCAGTGCCCCAGGGCATCACTGGAGCCTTGTAAGTGTGAGACTTAATGTATATATATATACTTTAACCCCATGACCACCAGGCTTGTATCATGAATCCCTTAAGTCAATACCCAAATGCCTAAAATCCTCTTTTAGGACACAAAGAAGTCCTATTTAGAAATAAGTGCCATTCACAGCAGGAACAAGACATGATTTGAGGCACTTGGTCTCCCTTTGTCCAAGCCGTTCTGGTATAAATGACTGATGCAGTCACAGAGGCAAGGAGCCAAACCCCAGTTTGTCTGGAGTGCTTGCACTCTTCTCTCACATTTCTCTGATTTTTAATGTAATGAAAGAAAAATTTCAGAGCAGTCTGAAGGAAGCTGGCAGAGGAGGTGGTCTGGCCAGGACTACACAAGACCCTTCCTCACCCTGTTCCTTGAACAACCCGTGCTGACTGAAAAACATTTCTGCTGGGATCTGCTTCTTCTCTTCTATGGTAACAGGGAAAAGCTGGTTGAAAACCATTTTTTCCCAGTGAGGCTAGAAAAACCTTACAGTGTCCAAATCCCACCCATGCAGTTTATAAAATAACACACCATGACATTTTCCCTTTTTTCTGTCCCATTCAAATTCCGACAATCTGTTCAACGTCAGACCACCTTTCAAATTAAAAGTCAGAAAGCAAGTTGGAACAAAACTTACCTTCGCAGAAACGTTATAATTTTCATAGCCTGGGAAGAAGAAAAATAATCCTCTCCCTCCACTTTCCCACCTCCTCACTCCACCCCCTAACTATATGGTCTGGATTGAACAACTTTGATTTCAGTTAAATTCAGTTTTGTGTACGATTTATCTTTCCTGGAAGCTGCTCTACCCAGCACTAGGATCACACCATCATCAAGGCGGGACTATGCATTTTTTTTTTTTCTGTTGCAAAACCCAGGACATCGCATCAAAACCCAAACTTCTTCACAGGACAAGTGCATCAATATTTCTTCCCTCACTGCCAAACACCCTTGCAAGTCTTTTCTCCGAGCTGAAGATGTGCTGGAGGGGACATGGGGCAGATTCTCCATGCTGTCTTACCTGAGCCCAAGCACAGGACTGCTCCCAGCAAGAGGACAAGGAAAGTCTTCATTTTGGGATAGCCTCTCTGGTGCTGAATACGGGTTGTTTCCTCGTGGGGCAGTTTATATGCAGTGGGAGGCAGCCATCGGGCATGCCCAGAAGGTTGCCCTGTGCAGGCACCTGAGTCAGGCTGCTCACCGGACCAAGGGAGGGGTTGGTTTGTGGTGGTGATATTTGCCTTATGTGCCTCTTGGAGCCTTTTGGAGATACCAGCAAGCTCCTCTCCACCACTACACCCCCGCCTTTCCTCCTACCCTTGGGCAAAGCATTCACATGAGTGGAAAAATAAAACAACACGAATTCTTTAGAACAAATCTGGCTTTAGCATTTCCCCAGAGCCAGGGAGCCTGCGGTTGGTTGCACCCTGTGAACAAGTCTGTCCACCCCCATCGCTGTCCTGAGTGGAGTTATTGTGTTTAAATCAAGGACAAAATGTTAGTTTAATAAACACCTCCACCACTCTGTGACACTTGTGGCATGTGGTAGCAAGGTATGTGGACAAATTACAGTTGCACCGGCCTCTTCCAGGCATCCAGGTGCTCGTTTGCCCTTGTTTGTATGTGTTGTCTGTAGTCGAGTACAAGACAATGGCCAATTCAAAGGTTTTTTTTTTTTTTTATGTGTGTTGAAACCAAAGGGCCTTTGCGATGGTTTTGCCTGGTATTGTTTTTGTCCGCCAAGCCTGCACCATGGCATGTTTCCCTCTGTCTGCCAATCTCTCTGTCTAGTATAGTTTGGATACGGTTTTGACACTTGAACTCACATCAGCGCACACCGTAAACCATTCAGGCTTGTCAAAGAAACGCCACTTCTCATCGCAGATGAGGGTGAGTTCAGCCACATTCCAAACTGGAGTGCGAATATTTGCTTTGGGGGGGTTGATTGGAGACCTCTCCCATCCTCCACGTTCTTTGACCGCTTCTCAGTGCACTCCGATGTAAAACCAGGCCTTTCTGCTAAATTCAATTTGCCATGGTTTCTCGCTTTATTTAGGGTTCTTGTTAAACCTCGGGGACGGAACACTTTGCAGTAATAGCCTGCAGGGACTTGCTCTCATGCAGTTCAGCTCTCAGGACACCAGGCACTTTTTCAGATTGAAAGGAAGGTGTGCTGGCGTGTCGGTGGATCATTGCTCTTGATCAGCGGCTGCGGGATGAGTGATGGAAGGTCAGCCAGCCTAAAGCTGCTGAAGTCATTGGCACCGACACGATTTACACCAGTGGAGAATCTGGTGCAAGGAGATGATTTTGAAAACCCTTTTTCTTCTGTGGGGATCTTAAGTGCTTCCTCTGGACTCTTCAGCTTCTGTTTAAAACAAAGAAAAAAAAAAAAATCCCAACCAACTCAACACCTTCTTTTCTGTGTCTATTGACTTTTGCTTCATTATATGTTTGCAGATGCCAACTTGTATGCAATAGCTGGATTAAAAAAAAAAAAAAAAAAAAGTGACAATGTTTTTTCAGACTCTGGTGTTCTTTATTCAGAGATATTGAAGGGTATTTTTCTTTTTAAATCATTATGATTGCTCCTGTAGGGTTTGTTCCCTGTGTCACAGAACAATAGGGGCAAGGGGAAAGCATAACCTGGTTACCCCATCAAATCCACCCAGGCCTTGAATTAAATATATCTTCCCTCAAGCAACTAATCGATAGGCAAGAGGGAGTGCTCTTTTCATCCCCAGCATCCTGACTTGCTGACAGTCAAACTTTCCTGGTACTATTATTTCTTTTTATTCTTTTTATTTTAACAGCAGCAAGGCTGACAGTGAAGACCAGGACTCATGGCATTGTGAAAGAGATGCACACAGCTAACAGCCCGTCCATGCCTCAGTCCTTCTTGGTTGCAGCCCGAGGCTGTGTAAGAACCCAGTAATTCCTATATCCTTACATCAGTCCTTGCTTCTCTTTTTTGGAACACTTGTGTGCAGTTCCTGCTCAACTCCTGAAGATGGCAAACACGCCCTGTTATAATTATTACACATACATTAACATGCAGTTGTCCGTAGGATTGTGTGTGCGTGATGATATTATGTAATCCCAAATTCATCTAATTGCATTGAAAAAGACCATCTATTTTCCCTGGGAATTTAAAGATGTCTACAAATCACTTGAGTTTTGGGGGATTTTTTGGTATTATTTTATGTTGTCACTGCAGATTGGCTTTGATACATACAGGTCTGGAGCTTTCTTTTGAGGAGGAAAGGAAAGAGGGCTTGATTATTTGCTGTATCCTGGTGTCAGGCTGGGAAAGCGGTGGAGCGTGGTGTCACAGATCACACCGAGGAGCTGGATGACACTAGTAGGCATGAACTAAAAATCTGAGGGCAGGAAAGGCAGTAGATACAATGACATCTGGGAAATCTGGGCAGAGATACCGAGTGTCTCTGAAGGCAAAAGAAAGTTGCTCTGATCTCCTGGGCTGTGTCAACCGCTTGGCTGGGTCGTCTGAAGAAGCTGTAGGGAAGTCTGCAAGATGGCAGAGATAATGTATTAAGATTTCAACTGCAGATTGCTTTTTTTTTTTTTTTTTTTTTTTTTTTTTCCCCATGGGGGATGTCTTCTATGAGCTGAAGAGGAAAAAAACAAACCAGTATTCAGCAAAGAGGAGAGTAAAATGAAGTTCCACTGCCTCATCCAAGCTCCTTAATGAATTGTAGTCCTTGAAAAAGCCGAGTCGTCAGGGGATCCTGCAGTTTCCAGCCTCCCAGCTCAGAGATGTAACATCACCTCGGATGCTTTAATTCAAGACAGAATTAAGTGCAAGAGCAACAGGAGCTGCTTTCCAAGGCTTCCTGACCCTGAAGAGAGGTCGTTGCATTGCTTGCTCAGCATGAGCGTGGCTGGCGGGTCCTTTTTAGGATGTTCTGCAGTACGTGTGCGGAGGTTGCAGGGGGCTGCAGAGGGAATCTTACCGACTTTTCCACTCCTGGAAGGGGTTTGGTACGTGTGCAGTGAATGAGCTGGTGATGTCTTCAAATCCACTCGGGCTGTGGGGATGTGGGATGTGTGATCAGGGATTTTAGTGGCCAGTTTTAGGCCTCGAAGTGGGAATTTCGAACGGCTGCACAGCTGCGTTCCTGTCCCAGGTCAGAACGGGTGGGGAATAAATGACACTGAGTCGGTAGATGGCAGCAAGGCAAATCGCATTACAGACCCGTCTGTGAGGAGGGAAACACGGATCCTAAAGGAGGGATGTGGTTGGATAGACAGGAAGACAGATGGATAGATAAGGGGAGAGAAAGATTTAAAAGCGAGTAGATATACAGGTATCCGCAGCGATGGATGGACTGCTAGCAGTCAGGAGGAGCTGGAGTCGCTGGTCCAACGTACTCGCTCCTATGTGCATGGTTACAGGCAGGCTTTGCTCTCCTTGTGACAAAAGGCCACAGTTTGTCCTCTGTCTCAACCTAAAATATTTCTTATCCATCTCTCAGCTGTTTTCCACTCTCCCATGCACATGTCTTGGGATGGACAGGCACGATGCTGGCCCAGCACCAGGAAACGTGATTCCTGCTGCTCCAGTGACTGCCGGGGGGAGATAAGCTCCAGCTTCTACATCTGCAGATGTTTAGCACTGTTTCATGTCATGGTCTAGCTCACACTACAAGGATTTACTTCTAGGTCTGCTGTTCAAGTCAGCTTCAGAGCACATGGAGGCAAGGCTTGGCTGCCTCAGACATCTTCCAGAGTTCAGCGACGGAGACTGGGGCTGTCATTAAGAGCAGGACATTGAGGAAAGGCAGAAAGGTCTTGGAGTCTCTGTCACTGGGCTGCTGAGGGACCTTTGGCATGTCCCTTCCCTTCTTTGTGCCTCTTCTTCCTCCAATGGCAAATTGGGCTCACGACTCCCGCATGACGAGGGAAGTGTTCTGAGATCTGCAGGTGCCAACCGGCACAACCAGGGAGCACTGTAAAGGTTTAATAAGCAAGGAGCCTGTTTGACCTTGAGTATTTCTACAAGGGTCCAGGCACAGACCCAAACATCCAGCTATTCCCATCTGGGATTTCAGAAACCGCCCTGAACAGCCTTGGAGAAAAAGTTCGCCTTCATATCACACATGTTCTTGCTGACAACCATGAAATCAACGCATTGCTGCAAATTCATCCCACCGTGGTGCTGATCTTGTCTGCAGAGCAAACTGTAGATGGACAAGATTCCGAGGGCTGTAGGGCTTGGAGATTCCCATACGGTGGTGCTGTTGTTACGTTACCGGTGCACAGACCTCTCGGTGTGTGGGAGCAACCCAGACTGTTTGTTTAAAATCTCAGCAACTTCGGAGCATCAAAAATGCATTTGACATTTTTTTTTTTTTGTTATTTTGCTAATTGCTAAGCTCTTTTGGTTGTAAAAGGCTCCGAGTGTGGGATCCCTGCCAGTTTCTGCTGGCGATGCCTCGCGCATCTCTGAGTTGTTTGCAGGAAAAAAAAAAAAAAATGGAGCGCGTTTTCCTATGCCTCCACTTTGGGGTTAGGGTGAAGAGTGGGGAGAGTAGCCTGTGCTGTGGTCACAAAGCAGTTCTGTGCTTGCTCTGTCCTCACAAAACAATTTCTTACCCCCTCAAATACCAGGTGTTGCTGTTTCCTGTGGGCAGCCGTAGCAACAGGTAGTTTGAAATGCAGGAGGAAAACAGGATTTACCTGAGATCACCCAACAGGCTGACATCAGACCTCAGACCAGGACCCTCAAACACCCTAACTGCTTCCTAGTCTACATCCTTTTCCTTCAGGAAAATTATTTATTTGCTCTATCCCCTTAGAAAACAAGAGAATATGGATGGAGAACCTGAGATTTCCAGGCCAGCTGCTGCAGATAGAAAAGGGTAGACCTGATGGCTGGACACACCGAGCCCCTGTGGCATTCAACTCATGGCCACTTATGGTCCATCCTTTGTCCTCCTTGTCCTCATTTTGAGGCCGGTACCCGTGAGTGGTACTGCTTATCCCACTTAAACACAACTTAGGGGAGAAACTTTGGCACAGGAGCTCAGCTCACGGTCTTACATAAGGGGAAAGTATTTTCTTGAGGGAACATGTTTGTCAGGGCCGTTTTGTGACTTGGTTGTGGATTTGCTGACAAAATGTTTTCTGAGTTGGAAAATATCATTTTGTTGACAGTGAAATGTTCTGCAGAAATAATATTTTAAACCTAGGATGGATTTTACAGTCAAACCCGGATAAAGAGTGCAAGATTAATCTAGAATAACCAAACTGTGCTTGTTTGGACATGAAATTAAGATGCAGGAGAT